GTGGGAGCAGCCCCAGCTCTGAAGGGAGTGCGTGGGGTGGGAGCAGGCCCAGATGTGGGGGAGTCCGTGGGGTAGGAGCAGCCCTAGCTGTGAAGGGAGCATATAGGGTGGGTGCAGTCTCAGCTGTGGGGGAGCCCGTGGGGTAGGAGCAGTCTCAGCTGTGCAGGAGCCTGTGGGGTAGGAGCAGCCCCGGCTCTGAGGGAGCACATGGGGTAGGAGCAGCCTCAGCTGTGAAGGGAGTGTGTGGGGTAGGAGCAGCCTCAGCTGTGCAGTAGCACCCAGGAAGCATCCATGGCCATGGAATAAAAGTGCCTGCGGCCTTGGAGCAGCATGTGAGGAGCATGCACCCACGGCCACGGAGGTGCACGTGGAGCGGGAGCACCCACGGCCATGAAGGGGCATGCAGGGTGTGTGCATTCATTCACAGCAGCAGCGTGCCTGCATTGGAAGCGCTTGCTCTGTGTAGATGTGCACTCACACCCATGGTCCTGGCCCCTGTGGCTGTGCAGGAGCGTGCGTGGTGCATGCACTGCTGCAAAGGAGCACATGGGCTGTGCACAGAAAGTGCATGCACATGCAGCTGTGGAGGAGTGTGTGCTGTGGAAGCACTCACTGCCACGCAGAAACACGTGTGGTGCATGCACCCACTGGCAGCAACAGAGGAGCTTGCAGGGTGGGAGAGCCCACGGCCATGTACGCGCACCCGATGCGCTGCTGGAGTTCATGGCATGGGTGCACTCCTTGCCATGGAGGAGCTGCGTGTCCCACGTGCACAGCAGCACACAGGGTGCATGCACCCACAGCCACGCAGGAGCGCACGCAGCATCGCTTATAGCGCGTTCCCAGTTCCATACGTAATACACAGAGCAGATGGCCAAGTGGTAGGATCATGTCCTCCTCCAGTGGTGGCTCAAGCAACTATGAGAGTAACGGAGCAGAGATTTTTCCCTTAGTTTAAGCACCCTGTGATTTTGATCCTTGCTGACAACTATGAAAGCTATACATCTAGACAACTGCATGCTTACGGATATGCTGTCAAAGCCCAGCTCAGCGCTTAGGACCTAAGTTTTTTCTTCCTTTTCTCTCCCGCCTCCCCCCTCTGTTTTAACTCCTTAGTCCCGCTCATCCAGCGGAGGGGACAATTGGAGAACAAACGGCTCGGAAATCAAAGGGCTGTCATGTTCCCCCGCGCTGAGAACCTTTCAGCGAGCCTCCCCGGTGCCTTTCAGCGCCCGTCCCCGCAGCAGCCGGCCGGCCGGCACGCTGCTCCGCTGCTATTCATGGCCAGCGTGCAGCTGCAGCTCCTCTCCTAGGCTGACACCGCGGCAGCTGCTATGTGTGTGCCAGCTGGCGAGCTGCGCTCCGAAATCCTCTTGTCCGCCCCGCTCCCCTCGCTCCTGCTTTCCTGCTTCCCCACCTACAGACCTGCTTCTCCCTTTCCGCCCACGGTTCCCACTCGCCGCAATCTGCTCTGGTTTCCTATCTCCCGACTGTCCCGAGCGCACCCCTTCGGCGTCCTCATTCACCTCACTCCTTGAGAAGCATCCCTTACTTTCCCTGCATCCCCTCCTCAGCTCAAGCAGGAGGTCTCTGAAGCGGAGCAGGCAATACTGCTTTTAATCATGTCCTCCCTTTGAAACTGGAATTGCATTCAAGCATTTTTATTTATTTTTATTTTTCTTAAAAATAACTTACAATATAACCAAACACCTTTAGAAGAAAGCAGGGGAAGCTGGAGGAAGGGGCTAGTGTGTTGGTCTGCTGGAATATTTTGAAGTTGCTACATTGAAACTCTGCTAGGCCCATGCATTTACCCAGCTGCGCCTCTTTCTGGCTTTCAAATGGATGAGTGAATGCTATTTAGTTTTTAATTACTTTTTTTTTTGATGGCTGAAGGGAATGAGTTTCTCAGACTACCTACCTAATGATTATTTTGCAATGGAGGGCAGCCAAAATATTTTGCAAGACAGGTATTTTGTTTGCATGTATCATCATAAACAAACATAAAACCTCATAATCTGCGTTCAGCGTTATGCAGTCAATATGCCCGCGGAGGAAGACGTGTGCTTTTATCACTGAGCAAATGTAATACAGAAGAAAGATGATCCAGTAGTTACAGCATATGCTCGGTCTCTGCAGAGCCAAGCTTGGTTACCTGCTGTATCACAGAATTTCTTTGTTATCTTGAGCGAGCTGCATGCTCCTTTTGTGCTTTGGTTTCTCCTTTGCAGATATTCTACAGAGCTCAGAAACTCTGCTGCCAATTTTAATACAGCTTTTCTCTCTGTAACAGGAGCAGAGAGAGGGAAGGTGCAGCTATTTCCAGGCTCTCATTCTGCTTGGGCAGATTGTCATTTTATTCCTTTAGGTACCACAACCCTGTTTTCAGCCCACGGTCATTATTTCCCTCACTGTGCCTTTTCCTGTAGTTAATATTATCTCTTGAGTGCCATGGAGCCTTGGTCTCTTCTGCAGAAATGCAAAGTTGCTTCGTAATAGTTATGCACCGATAGTGACAGTTTTCAGGAAACCTAGCAAAAATATTTCTTAACATATGAACTTGCAGCTTTTAAACAAGCCTGGTTGCCAGATCCAGAGCAAGCCCACGCGGAGCCTTCCCTCGCAGCTCGTGCAATGTGAACCTGTGTCAGAGCTGGGGCTGCCCGGGGGACCGGCGCCGAGGGCAGCCGTCCAACCCCTGCCTACCTGGCCACATCTCATAGCACGTGGCATAGGTGATGTTAGATGGAAGCAAAAGGTATCGCTCAGCTCTTGGGTTGCCTTGGACACCTAAAACAAATCACTGAGCTGTTTTGTGTCCTCGGGTGTGTGTGCTTGCAGGATGTGCCTCGCTCCCGGTCGTGTATTTTCTTCCCGGGCTCTGGATTAGGACGCTGCTCCCATGGGCTTCACCCCACGCCGCGCGCGTGCGGTAGCGGCCAAGGGCTCCATAACTCATTAGCGATCAGCTGCGCTCTCCGAGGCCCCGGGCTGCCAAGTGTAACGCGTCTCCTGTTACACCCACACCTGCAGCCTGTCACCCAACCCGCCGGGTGCCCCGCGCGGCCCTCCCGCATCTGGCCAGGGCAGGCGCCCAGCGCGCAAGGCCGGGGCCTGCTGCTCCTTCCCCCATCGTGGGCAGCCCCTGCTGCCCACAGCAAGTGGGGACTGCACGCAACGATGGAAACAGGGCTGGGAAAACTCCTGCTCTGCTTCGAACATCGGGTTTAAGCTTGCAGCATGAGCAGTTGCTCATGTTGCACAGGGACAGGGCTGGAGAACATCCGTCCCTCTAGCAAAGGAGGACCTCACTCACGGCTGTTCACGAGGCAGGGTGGAGTGCCTGCGTCCCACACCTCTTTATTCCCAGCCCTCTGGGCCGGGATTTTTGCTTTAGAGCTCTGCCCGTGCACTTGTGTAAGGTTTATGCCGCTATGCAAATCCTTTGGAAAAGATGCTGGTTATATCCTTTGCATAAAATTTTCCTGGAGGAACTTAACAGCTAGGAAGAGTCCAGGTTTATACTCTTGCCATAGAGACTTCAGAGGTATATGGATGCACTTTGTCAGTATGTATATGTGTGATGTATGTGTATTTGTGTGTTTATAAATGCATATATACATATATCTGATTTATCCAGGCCAGAATGTGTCTGCTTGGGAAAGTTAAAGGAGATGGGATCATTTTGGATGTTTTCCATCTTAAACTTGGCAGGGTAGGAGTTAACCTTCCCTTTCTGGCTAGAAAGGCTACAGCTGCCTGTCCTGAGTGCAAGGCTTTGCAGGACAGAACCAGCTGTGAAGAATTAATTTCTCTCCTCTTTCCTCCATGAGAAGCCTGTTGTGGACTGGGGTTTATAATATGAATGGAGAAGCCTCCTCAGGAACAGAGCTAGATAGTAACCAGTGAAGGATTTTCTCCTCTCCTCTTCTTTGCAGAACTTGGAGAAAGGTATTTTGAATTTTGCTGTGGACTTGGTAGGACAGGCCGTATTTTCTCCCTTGATTTTGACTGAAAAGAGTCCTGTTGGATTGGTATGGCCTATGCAATCTGTCTAATGAGTGTGTACATGCTTATGTGGACTGTTCATGGAAGCGAAGTGGGCTTGGACTGCAAAGATGTTGTTTTAGAATGTATACTTATCCAAGACTTGAGAATGACTGATTTCACTTGGGATTAATTGCTGATCTGGTCTAAGGGAAGACAAGATGGAGAAAGGACTAGAGTGGTGCTTGTATCCATCTTCCATCTGTGCTGCTACTAGGAAAATAAAGTCAGGTTTGATGGAGCTAGTGCTAGGAAATGAGTTGGGTACTCAGCATCACCCTTTCCTATGGTCTGGTTTCCCAGCTGGCCTGGATTTCTGCAGGCTCCAGAGCAGGAAGATGGTTGCCCATCATAACTTCTCCACGTGGCGTGCTTTCTGCTTAGCTTGCTTGAGGCCTCATCTTCTGCCAGCAGAAGCAGATACCGAGTCTGGGCTAAGTCAATGGGTTTCAATGTGTAGAATTTGCTACTAAGGTCTGAAAATGTTAGTAAAATGAGAGATAATCTAATAAATGCAGTCATTGAGAATTCCTCCCAGCTTTTCGCCTGCCACATTTCAAATTCCCACTTAAAAAGTTTCTCTTCAAAATGTTGGAGGGAAGGTTAACTGACACTTAAAAGCCAGAAAAGAAAAAGAAAAACCTACCAAATTTAGAAAACCCATGCAGCTGATTTGACTTCTGAAACCAGATACACTCCCTGAGAGGTGACGTTCCTACCCTCCTACTGGTTTATTTTCACTGTGAATCTTTCTCAGACTGTGCAGACCATGCTGTAGGCACTATTGACCACCTGCCTTCGCTTTTAAAGTTCACTGCAGTCATTGTCAGAGAAACCTCCTTGACTTTGCTGATATCTGAGTGGTAGAAAATAAGGTTAGAAGGGATCTGTGGAGATCTTCTAGTTTATTCCATTCCACAAGGCAGGAGCAACAGTACCTTCCTCTCTCTTAACAGAGGACAGTATCTTCTCTTAACAGAGGAACCTCACCAGATAGAAATTTCCTAGCCGAGCTAATCTCTTTTAGTGATCTGTCATCAGAAAATATATGCCACTGTCCATCCTTTTATTGTTGCTTTTTTGTCCCACTTTTCTTCTGTGCAGTGGATTTGGAGTTCAACGTATTTCCTTATTCTTCATGGATACCCTTCATGTATTTGAAGACTATTACTATGTCTCCCTCTGTTGTCTCTTCTTTACAGTGGAAAAAAAAAAGATTGACTTCTTCAGTCTTTTTTGGTGGATTGTGTTTCCTAGGTCCTCGATCATTCTTGTGGTCTTACTGCAGTCTCTGCAATTGTTCTACAACTTTTTTTTTTTTTTTTTTTAGATTCAGTGCTTGAAAATTGGACATGGAGTTCTCAGCAGATCTTACCGCTGGGTGAAGCAAGAGGAATACATTAGAGACTAGAGTGACAAGAAGTCACTCTTGGCCTTGCAGACAAATGTAATGCTTGTTTTCTTTTCTCTTTCTTTTTACTTTTTTTTCTTATCTCAAACATGATATTGTTGACTTCAGTCTTCAGTTTCATTTGCTATCTATTGAGGTGACCCCAAGCATGCAATTTCCTGCCCTGCATTTTGAACTTTTTTTTTTTCAAATTTAAATTTGCATTTATCCCTAAGGGTAGTGTTATTCTCCCCTC